CAATTATAGTAAACTGTAATACAAATAGTAAATTCAGTGACCAAATCGTATAAATTTCGTGATAAAATCAGTGATCAAATCATGTAAATTCCATATAAATCCCGTGCAAATTCCGTATCCAAACCATATTTTTAGTGATACGGAATTGTGCATTTTTCCGTATCCTATTATGATACGTTATTTCTAAGGAAAAAACTCGTATAAAAACTTTATAAAAAACGTATCCAATTTTTTTATAGGGATACAACATCCATAATTGTAATCTAACAGCGAAATACCGAAATATTATAATCATTGTGATACTATAAATTCATAAATTTGATTGTATTTTTTTTTAAAAAAAATTAAAAATTCTAATTCTCTTTTTCCTTTTTTTATTTGTTTACATATCATGCGCGCGGAGTTTTCTCACCGATGAAAGAATTTATTCCTTTTTTTAAGTATCTCATGATTCATTTATTTATATTAATTTCAAACATGCACATTAATATAATATGTACTATCTGCTATGATTTACGAATGTAACATCTAACTTTTTATTTTGACGATGATTTCCTATTAAGGACAAAAAAAATTCACATTTAAATTTACCAATTTCGTAACGTTACAAATTTTCGCTGATCTATTATTGAATATAAAAGAATACGCGAGTACGTCCAACTTACACGTTCAGCTTTTAAGCCGGAAAATAAACAAATAAAATCATGTCAATTGACACCTTAACAGGTTCAAATCATTATATTGATTGGCTAGAAAGGTCAATTGTCGATGAACATATCAAATATTATGAATATTCAGACTTCAAAAATATTCGACCAATAGGGAATGGTTCATATGGAAAAGTCAATCGTGCTAATTGGAAAAATACCGATCATTTCTTCGCTTTGAAATCTTTTAGTAATAACAAACAAACACTTGAAGAAATCATAAAAGAGGTAATTATTTAAAGGGATGAATTAATTAAATCAATGATAATTAATAATACTTTTTTTATATAATACGTCATAGTTAAAGTTACACAGAAGTGTTGATGATCATGGAAATATCGTAAGATTATATGGAATCACAAATGTAGAAACCAGTAAGTATTAAAAATTTAGAATGTATTTTATTTATACTTACCTTATTTTAAAATATTTATTATTTAGCAGATCCAACTCAACAGATAAAAAATTATGCATTAGTCTTGGAATATGCCAATGGCGGTACATTAAACACCTATTTAGGCAAAAATATTAATGATCTGGATTGGAATGATAAATCTCGCTTAGCACTACAACTGGCAGACGCCGTAGGATTTTTACATGATAATGATATTGTTCATCGTGATCTGGTAATATTCGAAATCATTATTGCCTCTAATTGATTATGTGTTAAATGATTAATGAAATTTTTTGTAAAACTTAGCACTCAGGAAATATACTTATACATCAGAACAATATTAAATTAGCAGACTTTGGGCTATCAAAAAAAGATACTGAAACATCAAGTATCACATCGAAAATACGTGGCGTAATACCCTACGTGGATCCGAGGAAACTTAGTGATAAAAATTATAAATTAAATAAAAAATCAGATGTGTATAGCGTTGGAGTTCTATTGTGGCAAATTTCAAGTGGACGTGAACCATTCTCTGATGAAGGTGTTAAACACGACGTTAGTTTTAATTTGTCTTTAATAAAAGGTAAAAGGGAAAAAATTATTGATGGAACTCCTGTTAGATATAGTAAATTATACACAGGTAATAAATTAAATAAAATGATTAATATGTTTATATTTAAGCATAATGGGTATTAATTTGATTTACTGATTGGTTAGAATGTTGGAAATATGAACCAAACGAACGTCCAAATATGCAAGAAGTTATTTTAACGCTTAAAGAAGCCATTTCTCCTGAAATTATTATTTATAGTTTTAATGAAGACAATAAAAGTACTTATTCATCGGAAAAATACGGATCAATCTCAAAATCAAGCAATGTGACCGTGGATATAAATGACGCTCTAAACATTAACAACAGTTTAATATTAAGTACTACGTCACATATTGCATCGTTAGAAAATAATAATATGTATGAAAGTAACTTAAGTTCGCAAAATCATATGGATATTGTGGAGTTTAAAAGTAATTCATCAAGCTCGTCAGACCCGTTAGACCAAAAATCGATAAATATGAACGAGACAATATCTGGTGCAATGGCTGATGGGTTAATTGATTATATAATTACGAAACACGATGGTGGAATTACCTTTGACGATCAAATTCAACTGCTAATTACTAAAAAAATATTACAACCCGATCAAAATTTTAACAATCTCGTATATGCCTTTGATCAAGTTCAACAGCTGCTTACTAAAAAGATGTTGCAATCAAATCAAATATTTAATAATCTTATAGATTGGTTATCAAATAATAAAGATGAGCCAAAATATGGTTGGCTTCTTGGATTATTTTATTATTATAATATTGGTGTGGATGAAAAAGAAGAAAATAGTATTAAATCATTTGAACTGTTTTCAAAAGCAGCAAATGATAATTGTTTGATTGCGAAAGTTTATCTTGCCAAATGTTATTATGATGGATATGGAACAACCTTAGATCATCTTTTGGCTTCTAAATACTATCAAGAATCAGCAAAAAATGGAAGTATTATTGGCCAATTTTATTTAGGAAATCTTTATGAATCGATAAATAATGAAGTAGAATCGGTTTATTGGTATAAAAAGGCAGCTATAAGTGGTAATACAAGTGCAAAACTTTATCTTGCAAATTGCTATAGGTTAGGAAAAGGAGTTGATAAAGATGAAATTAAAGCATTTAAATATTATGAAACCCTAGCTAATAAAAAAATTGCTGATGCTCAACTTAAACTTGGCGATTGTTTTTATAATGGAATTGGAACAAAATTGGATAGAATACGGGCAAAATATTGGTATGAAAAGGCGGCAAATGACGGAAATATAATAGCAAAAAGTAATCTTAAATATTATTATAACGAAACAGTAAGATTTGAGATAGACAAGTGTAAGAAAATTAGGCTTTACAAAGCATTATTTTCAAAAAGATTAAATCAGCTTGGATTGTACTGCATTGGTAAAATATTATTAAAATCGAATTATGAAAAGTCATTTTATTATTTGCAAAAAGCAGCAGCAAATGGATGTAAATTTGCACAATTTAATTTAGGTGGATGTTATCAATTAGGACATGGTGTGAGAAAGGATGTAAGAAAGGCATTTGAATTATATAAGAAATCTGCTGAACAAGAATACATAAACGCACAATCTCAACTTATTTATTATTATGGATATGGATTAGGAACTGAAATAAATAGAGTAAAAGCATTTGAATTAGTTAAAATAATAGCTGAGAAAGGATATAAGCATGCACAATATTTATTAGGTTTACATTACAGAACTGGAGAAGGAGTTGATAGAGATGAAGTAAAGGCATTTAAATTATTTGAAAAACTTGCCAATGAAAGTACAAAATGTCTATCTAATAATAATGAAATTAGTAAACAAAAAGATTTTGAATATTTTAAAATATCAATGAAGTATGTAAGTCCAAATTCATTATATCAACTTGGGTATTGTTATAATGAAGGAATTGGGACGGAACATAATTTAACAAAAGCATTTGAATTATATAAAAAAGCAGCTGAGAGAGGACATTGTGTTGCGCAAAATGTATTAGGATATTTATGTGAGAATGGCGAAGGAACAGAAAAAAATTTAAAACAAGCTGTTTATTGGTATAACAAAGCAGCAGATAGTGGATATAATAAAGCACAATTTAATTTAGGTTTATGTTATCAAAATGGAAAAGGCATAGAAAAAGATGAAAAAAAAGCATTAGAGTATTATAAAATATCAGCTGATCAAGGATATTTGAAAGCTCAATACCAACTTGGATATTGTCATGAAGAAGGAATTGGGACAGAAATTAATAAAACAAAGGCATTTGAATTATACAAAGTGGCAGCAGAAAAAGGAAATAGTTGGGCACAAAATTGTTTAGGATGTTTATATGAAAAAGGTGAAGGCATAAAAAAAGATATAAAACAAGCTGTTTATTGGTATAATAAAGCAGCAGAAGGTGGAAATGAAATAGCACAATATAATTTGGATAGGCACTATCAAATTAAAAAAAATGAAGCCAGAGAATTTAAAAAATCAGCTGAAGAATATTTAAATGTTCAATTTATGCTTGGACATTACTATTTTAATACTACAACCAATAAAGCAAAAGCAAATAATGGAGTTGAGATAGCACAATATAATTTAGGCAGATGTTATGAACATGGAAATGATGTTGAAAAAAATGAAAGAAAAGCATTTAAGTATTATGAAAAATCTGCTGAACAAGGATATTTAGATGCCCAATTACAACTTGGATATTGTTATAATAAAGGAATTGGTACGGAAATTGATAAAACAAAGGCATTTGAATTATACAAAATAGCAGCTGAAAAGGAAGATAAAATTACACAGTGCGTGTTAGGAATATTATATGAAAATGGCGAAGGAACTGAAAAGAATTTAAAACAAGCTGTTTATTGGTACAAAAAGGCAGCAGAAAATGGAAATGAGGTAGCACAATATAATTTAGGTAGATGTTATGAATATGGAAATGATGTTGAAAAAGATGAAAAAAAAGCATTTGAATATTATGAATTATCAGCTGAACAAGGATATTTGGATGCTCAATTACAACTTGGGTATTGTTATGATAAAGGAATTGGTACTGAAATTGATAAGACAAAGGCATTTGAATTATACAAAATAGCAGCTGAAAAAGAAAATAAAATTGCACAATGTGTGTTAGGAATATTATATGAAATTGATGAAGGAACTGAAAAGAATTTAAAACAAGCTGTTTATTGGTACAAGAAGGCAGCAGAAAATGGATGTAAGGTAGCACAATATAATTTAGGCAGATGTTATGAATATGGAAATGGTGTTGAAAAAGATGAAAGAAAAGCATTTGAATGTTATGAAAAATCTGCTGAACAAGGATGTTTAGATGCTCAATTTCAACTTGGATATTGTTATAGTAAAGGGATTGGTACTGAAATTGATAAAACAAAGGCATTTGAGTCATATAAAAAAGCAGCTGATCAAGGATATTTAGATGCTCAAGTTAAAATTGGACATTGTTATTATGAAGGTATTGGTACTGAAGTTGATAAAACAAAAGCATTTGAATCATATAAAAATGTAGCTAAACAAGGGTATTTAGATGCTCAACGTTGGCTTGGGTATTGTTATCTAAATGGAATTGGAACAGAAGTTGATAAAACAAAAGCATTTGAATCATATAAAAATGCGGCTAATCAAGGGTATTTAGATGCTCAATGTTGGCTTGGGTATTGTTATCTCAATGGAATTGGAACAGAGGTTGATAAAACAAAAGCATTTGAGTTATACAAAATAGCAGCTGATAAAGAAAATAAGAGTGCACAATGTTATTTAGGGATATTATATGAAAATGGTGAAGGAACTGAAAAGAATTTAAAACAAGCTGGTTATTGGTACAAAAAGGCAGCAGAAAATGGAAATGAGGTAGCACAATATAATTTAGGCAGATGTTATGAACATGGAAATGGTGTTGAAAAAGATGAAAGTAAAGCATTTGAATATTATGAAAAATCAGCTGATCAAGGAAATTTAAGTGCACAATTACAACTCGGATATTGCTATAAAAATGGAATTGGAACAGAAGCTGATAACACAAAAGCATTTGAATTATTTAAAAATGTAGCTGATCAAGGATATTTAGATGCCCATGTTAATCTTGGATATTGTTATGATAAAGGAATTGGAACTGAAATCAATAAATTAAAGGCATCTGAATTATATGAAGAGGCAGCTGAAAAAGGTAATGACGGAGCACAAAATAATCTTGGATATGCATATATGAAAGGAGAAACACCTGAAAAGGATTCAAAAAAAGCTATATATTGGCTACAAAAAGCAGTAGAAAATGAAAGTGAACTTGCATATGATAATTTAGCTATATGTTATGAATTAGGAATAGGTACAGATATAGATAAAACTAAAGCATTTGAATTATATGAAAAATCAGCTGAAAAAGGATATATCAATGCAAAATTTCATCTTGGATATTGTTATGTAAATGGAATTGGAACAAAAATAAATAAGAAAAAAGGGATTGAATTATATAATGAAGCGGCTAAAAAAGGAATTAATAATATACGAAAGTATCTTAAGTCAATCTATAAAAATGAAAAAGAAATAGTAAAAGATTTAAATGAAGTTAATTATTGGTATCAAAATTCAGCAGAAAATGATGATGAAATGGCATTATATAAATTGGGGGAAATATATGAATTAGGAAATGGAGTAAATATAAATGAAGTTAGAGCATTTGATTATTATAAACAAGCAGCTGAAAAAGGATGTATAAATGGTAAATACAAAGTTGGAAATTACTTTTTTCATGGAATTATAGTCGACATTAATAAAGAAAAGGCATATAATTTATATAAAGAAGCAGCTGAAGGAGGAAATAGCGATGCGAAAAAATGTCTTGCATTACTTTACGAACAAGATGAAGAATGCTTGGAACATAATGAATGTTTAGAGGTTAAAGAGGATCTAAAAATTCTT